CTCTTCCGACAGCGGCCGCGGCGGCGGGAATCACCCTCGAAATTGATGTTGCCCGGCCACGCGATCTCTCCGGGCCACTCTCGAGCTGCTCGATATTTCTCGCCTGCTCTATCCCCTTTCCGCCACTCGAACAAGACGCTGCGTGAACATATTTATTACGGCTACCCGTGACCCTTGCAGCATACTTTATTGGTTATGGCCTCGTAAATAGGATGTTTTGTCGAGATTCATCTCGCGTTATGCTCGTTATTGCTCGCGATGACTTAATACCGCGGGATTGATTATGCACGGGTTGTTGCGGGGACGATGGCCGCATTGAAATTTCTAACATTTCTCGCGTTATTTTATAAACGATCTTCGAAACAGGAGGGAAAAATTTTGCTTCGAAAGGGAACGAAACCGTACGTAGATATTTATTTATTGGTACGACACTGTCTTGCTTGAAAACGCGGATTGTTAACCTCTTAGGTACGATACACTGCTCTATAATGGCTTTCGTGGATATGATTTTGCTTTATTTCTCATCTATTTCGCCTAAACCACATTTCCCGTCGTACTTTAAACCCGTCAAAACCAAAAAGACGTTGCGAATTTGTGTAACGTGCGAAAAAGAATTATATATAAGACGAAGATCGTGGTAACAATGAGAAGACGTCCCTGAGAGACAGAATGGCGGTCGAGCGCGCCGTACCTAAAAGGTTAACCCCTTGTTCTACAGCTTTCGAGTTGATAAAACTTTTCTACGCGAAATTTAATTCCGTTTTCGTATTTTTCTACTCGGTAAGGTATCTACGTGGATATAATTTTGTTAAATGCTTACCCTACGACGTGAGCTCCGATGGTGCCTGCCATGATCAACAGTAAGGCCGGTCACACGCCCGAACGCGGCGAAGGATAACACGCTACTGAGACACAAAGCCGTCGACGAAATCGAGCCTCACCCGTTGTTTACGTTTCACCTTATCCACGGAATGTTTCTCGCTCGTGAAACTCGTGTTTGAACCGAATGCTTATCACGAAATATTATAGGCGAAGACGTATGTATATAGAATACCTAGCTAAAAGCATCGGTAACGAAGGATTCTACGACTCCTTTGAAGAATTTTAAGATGAATGTCTAATTAGTACTATGTACATCATTTTATAATAATTGTTGATAATAAATAAAAAATAAATTATGTCGATACATATAAAAATATCCGAGTGAAACTTATTCTCCCCTAAAACCTAACAACGTCTCTTTTAGTGTCGGTCTTATCGCGTACCTCGCACTATACTTGCACGATTATGTATTACGGGTCATTACGATCCACAAAGCGTAAGGCATAAGTGAATATCTACCTATTTGCACGTACTCTAGTCACTCTGGAGTAGGAAATATAGCTAAATCGGATTGGTCGTGTCGTTTCTAACAGGAGAGTTCCTTCAAGCTTTACAGCTAAAACCGTTAGAGGCTTTGGCGTGTAAGTCGTGTGTCTTCTGCTATAGGAATTTCAATGACCAGAACTCTAGAGGCACGGTGAATTATAGCTGAATTATAGTGGATACTTACACCTGGTGAAAGTGAATGTACCAAAAGCGAAGAGTGTGAATCTCGGTTCGGCAAAGAAGCTAGGATTACATTCCCGGAGGAACGTAATTTGATTTTTGACTCGACGACTGCTGCCTTTTCTCACGAACGAAGAAGCAAGTAACGGTGTCTTGAGGAGATAAGCGTGTTAAAGGATAGATAGGATAGAAGATACGAATAAATAGTTTATAAGATATAAATTCCGAGAAGAATTGGGGGTCAGGCGAACCGCGTCACGTACCCTCCTGACACTCTCTCAGGAGTCGATCAGTCTAGCAACAGAAGCCCTAAGAAGAAAGATACTTTCCTTGAGTAATAAAAGACTTCGATAGAGAATATATGTATTGTCATCTATAGGTGTTTACCTATGTAAACTGAAAAATTCAATTTTATTGACATTTTCGATTAATATCGTGGTGAGTTAATTTTTTTACATAAATAAGAGAGGAAAATCCTATTTAATTGTTATAGCCATTTCATTTCTAATATACTGCAGACTGGCTAACTTTCCCTTATTATCCCTTATTCATCCGTCATTTATTGAATTGTCACTTGGATCCCGACCTTCCCTGCATCATCATCGCCTCCTAACCTTCGCCACTCAACGCAGCTTCGAGAATTGATAAGGTGGATTGTTCCTCGAAACAAGTATAGATCTCGATGCAGGGTGACGCCATCCAAATAAAGATTCATCTTACAATATCCTAGTTATTTTACAAATTAGAATCCATAATCCCAATACATTGCAATCGATTCGCGATGAACCACTGACTAATCGATTAAGCCAGCTAAATCACCGATAGATTTTCTCTCTCGGTCTATCTACCTTTGCAACTTCGATTTCTACCTTTTGTCTCTTCCTCCGTCTTCGAAACTGCACTCAGTGAAGTTTCGCAAGGAAAGAAACAACGCACTCCGCTGTTCCGATAGCGTCGCATTAATGAACCTCGTAAAGAGGAAACTCGTTCGTCGACCGCTTGCGCAACGCTAATTACGTTATCCGAGGTACCGTGCCGTAGCATTCGGGGTTGCGGAGAAGAGTTTAGCCTCTTAGCCCGTCGCGCAGTTTCGCCATCGACAGATGCAACTTGACGCATTCCTGTTCATTATCTAATTTGCCGATCGTTTGCAGGCTCACGTGCCCCGAGCCCTATTTCGTCAGCGAGGGCCTGTACGCTGCTCTCGAGGAGCTGGAGAACACGCGCGAAGTTACCCTACACGTGATGACCATTGGCAGCTTCATCGAGGATCCGTCCAAGGTAAGTCGTCCGCCATTACGCAAACGACTTCTTTTCGCTGCACACGAGCATCGGGTGAGATCACTTCGATCGCGATCCAGACCCCATGGATCGTTCTATTCTTCGCAACCGACAGACCAAATGGAACGATGGCGTTCGAATGATAACCGATGCCACGGAGAGAGAGAGAGAGAGAGAGAGCTCCTGTCGGAGGGTTTACGACTTCCAGGAAGCTCGCGTTCGATGGATCTCCTCGAGAGGTCAAAGTCTCGGTGGATTTCGCGATTCCGAGATTCGATATAGCCTTATCGCGAAGGCCTACTCTAGCATCATGCGATACGATACGTTTCGCGAAAATGCGAAACGTGTTCCGCAATCGCGAGTAGGGGTGAAGAGAGGAGGAAGAGGAGAGAGAGAGAGAGAGAGAAAAAGAGAGAGAAGAATGGGAAAAAGTGGAAAGATGGAGGTAGCGCATGAAACGTGTTCCGCAATCGCGAGTAAGGGTGAAGAGAGGAGGAAGAGGAGAGAGAGAGAGAGAGAAAAAGAGAGAGAAGAATGGGAAAAAGTGGAAAGATGGAGGTAGCGCGCGAAGCCTGGCGTTCTTTCAAACACCCATAGAAGAGCTCTCCTCGCGTCTGGTTCTCTTTGCGGAGATTGGTGCGCGGCGCAATAAGAGGCAGATACTCGAATAAATAAAAACACGGCTAATTGCAAGCGCGGCGGATGCCGGTTCATCCGTCGACCCTTCGTTATCCGACGTGAGCACCGATTAAAATTACGTACGGCCGTACAGAGAACCGTACGTTGGTCTCGCGCGTTCCCTGCCCTATCTCTCGGCCCTCTCCTCGGGTCGCTAATTAAATGCAACGGCTAATTAGATAACTGATAAAAGGTTATGGCGGTCCGCGAGCCGCACGATGTACTTTTGGCCCCACTTACGTTCTCTCTAGCCTCTCTCTCTTCCTCTCTTCCTCCTTTTAACTTCTCTCGACAGTCGTCCTTTATTTTCCTCCCCTACTTTATCTTCCTCCCTCCACATTCGTTTCTTCTTCTCCTGCTTCGACTTGTTTATCCCGTCTTCTCCCCCTTTTGTCCTGCCACTTCTTCTTCGTCTTCGTCTTCCACTTCGTCTTCGTCTGCTTCTTGCTCCTCCACTTTCAGTTCACGCATTGAACTCGGCTTTTTTAATTCTTCCCCGTGCATGTTAAGTTCTTGATGTTGTTTCGTTCCCTTCTTTCCATTTCTTCTTCCACTTCCGTTTATTTTTGTCTCGAGCTTGCTCTTTCGTTTTTCTACCTTTGTTTTCTCTTTTGTCGTCTCTTCCCCAGATCCTGGTCCCTCTATTTCGCCTTCGTTCTCCACTCTCGTTTTCTCTTCCCCCCACCCCCTCCCTCCTCCCAATGCCTCGCCCTTTCATTTTACGTTGCAGTTTTGTTAATTTTTCATCGACCGCTTCGTATTCTCCGCCGTGCTCTGCCATAACTGCCCACTTCGCGTCTTCTTCTTAGACTTCTTCTTGGAACCGCAGCGAAGTCCCTTTTACTTCTACCTACACCCCGTTCGCTTCTACTTCTTTTGCTGCCTCTTTGCTTCTTCGTGCCTTGCACAAGGTTCACCTTTCATGTCGTACTTCGGTGGGCGCACTCAGTACCTTTCGCGCTCTTTGTCCGCCATTCGCTTTCCGTTTTCTTGATTTAGCGACATCTTCGGGTTATTTGTCCATCGAGCAGCATCTCTCGTTTCATGCTCTTCAACGTCACTCGCGAAACGAGAATAGAATCGCTAATTTACTTTTCCTTCTGCCAATTCACGCACGCTCGACCCCCCTTTTATTTCTCCACCACTTTTCTCCCTCAGCCGCTCTCCCTATCTTTGTTCCCTCGAACCGTTTTTCCCCTTTCCTCTTTCCCCCTGGATTTTCGCGGTTTTCCTCTTATCGTACGTGTGTATTAATAACCCGTTCCCCTCTTGGACAATCTTCTTTTTCCGCCTCGGTTATTCTACTCTATTTATATCGTATTCGTGCAATCAATTTTTCAATCTCCAGTCACGCCATTTTCTTCGATATTCTCCTTTTATTTCCCCCCATCCACCGGCCACTTGATCGATCGCGGCGTATTTAACGTTAAGTATACAGTAAGGACATTGTACGCTAAGTATATACCAGTTCGGTATTTCTAGTGTCAAAAAACAGAATATTTTCATTTCTCATGTCTCGACCTTCTCTCGCGATAATTATTACTTTATATCTGCACTATCATTTTCTTCTCCTTCCAATACCCTCCTCTATCATCTTCAATTGCTTCACTCCCTCTACGCGTTCAACTTCATTTATCTCCCTCTCCCATAAATTTTCTTCCTTCTTCCTCCGCTACTTCTTCTTCCTCTCCTTTTCCTCCACACCCGTCCCCTCCCTGTTTCTCCTTTTTTCTCTCTTCCGGCTGTTTCCTTGAACCAGCTACTCGCGTTCATTCCGCTTCGAAATTCGAAACTCGGCTCGAATTCCAGCGCCGATGAGGTATCCGCGACCTTGAGGCTTTAGAGGCTTCGCTTTGGATAGCGGCGTAGGAAGGGCAGCTAAGTGGAAATCTAATTAATGCGTTTTTACCTGGAACGAAGTACTACGTGGTGCACCGTTCCGGGAACTCGGCTGGTGTGTGTGCTCTAGGTGGCAGTACGTAGTCGCGTTATCGTTAATCTCGTGCCATATAACAGGGGCTGACAGGGCAACGATCCTTCTTCGCGGTGGTTCCCTCCGCAAACACTCCGTGACACGTGCTCCGTTGCTCGCGTTATTCCTCGTGGTAATTCCCGGCGACCCATCGATAACCACACGTTTCCCTGAAAAAAGATCCAAAATCCAAAATTTTACCTATCCGTGATAGTTCGTGGAAGATAAATCGGGGGGTAAATCGGGGTACCGAGAGATTCGCGACGTTGAAAATAAGATTCGTCTTAAAACTCTTCGGGGCACGCTGGGGTTAAAAGTATCCCACCACCTTCTTGATGCACAATAATGCATAGTGGGACATTTTTACTCCCACCTCGAAATATTGCAATAGCTGCATGCGCGTAAGTTTATATTTCCTCTCATTTACGTAAAACAATTGGTAATACCTTCGACAAATGTTATAAATATATTCACTCGTGTTGGCAACATTCAATTCTTGCAAACGGAAGGTTTTATATTTACGTTATGTGATTCCTTTATTAGTAAAAATATATCAATTTTGTTTCATTTAAAACGCAATAAAATTTCCAATTCCACCCGGGTCTGTTTTATTATCCGAAATCCTGTGCCGCGAAGAGTTAACGTATATAGAAATATTCAACTATGCGTCGAAAAGATTTGAGGAACTGAAGCATTTACTTCACTAAGCAGGCTAAGAATTAGGGGACCAGGACGAGCTGCAATTGCACACCCTTTTCCATCGCTCTAGTTTTGTCTCTCCCTGCGTACAGTTATAACATATAACGATAGAATAAAGAACGATAGTTATTTCTTATTACCCATAATCCCAATACGCGACAACTGTGGTCCCCGGTTCTACGTCCTGACAAGGATCGTTTGACGCGTTTTCCGATATGGATCGCGAGATGTATACTCCCTGTCACGGTTCATCTTGCTAGAATAAATTATCATTTCGAAGCGACGATACTTTCTGGCAAGCTCGACGGAAAAGTTCACGACTCATCGACGCGAATCGTTGAACTTACCACTGATCTGCAGGCAGCGCTAGGTGGGTGTGTTTGTATCTTTATTGACAGAGTAAGGCCGTCTTACGTGAACTTTCGTTGCGTAAAGGTTTCGCTGTTCGAATACCCTGTTATCTTAACATTTCGATATGCAAATGTTCCTCGGCTTGGACGGCATTGTGTCTGGATCGCATCGGGACGGGAGACATGGCGGAAAAATTTCGAACGCGCCGCCGGGTGCATAGCTGTCCGTATCGCGATCTTCCGGAATCGTGGATCGAGCCTCGCCGGTGTTTTTCGCGAAACAACATCGGCGATAAGTAAAATAATAATCAAGCAATTAAGGAACATACATCAGGCGATACGCGAGCGTTTCGTCGTAATTTATCTCCTACACCCGGCCCCCTTTTTCAAACGCGCGTTGGATCAATCGAATTTTTATCGGACCGTGTACATTACGAGGCCCGATACGTAATTGGCATTTATGTGGCCCGTAAATAACACCGGCTCGCACACGGAATGATTGCGGGAGCGCGCTTAAAGATCAGGAATCATCGTTTATGAAGCAATAACGTATCTACGGATAGACGCGTTGCAATAAAATATTGTCTCTAATTCACGCTCGTATGAATCGATCTGCCAATCACCGCGACGTTCGTGTTAAAAACTAAAGGCGTCCTTTCATGAGCGGCGACATACCGCGGGGAAATTAATGGAACTGTAAAAACTATTATGCGCGGAGAAGCGAGGAGCAATTACCATTGGCATTTCAAGATACTTGACCGAAATAGTTTCCGTCGAGACGCTGCACGCCGCGTCGGTTCAGGATGAGACTCGATCAACGAGTAACGCCGCGAACAATTCCCCCCCGGCCTCCAACTCCACTTTTCGAATGATATTTATTTTCAATTTCAACTCGCGTGAAAACCGAGTGTCTTGGAAAGCGAGACACGCAGGTACGTCGATTATGCGAATTTTCCCATTGCGTTTCTCTCGTTAAATATTTGCATTCGTTCGAACGCGGAACGCGGTTTATACGTGGAAAAATTCGTATCCCCGATTATTCCTGATCCGTGACGTAATTTGAAATTTGTCCCAGAAATTAATTCGAATAATCGACGTGGTAGTACTGTGTTTCGAGCAGTCGTATCGAGTCATCATCCTATTTTAAGATTTCAGTGGGAGGATTTCTGTATGCAGATTCGACTACCATAGTCGAAGCTCCTCGCGTCGACTTAACGTACGAGTCCTACTTTTCGCTAATTTTGCTTTTCAAAATCTCTCGTTGCTGCCTACGAGTCGTCTGGGAATGAAGGATCCGCGAA